ATTTGACTTTGTTTGACCTTATTTGACCTAAAGGTCAAGACCTATGAAACTCAATCTTTGATCTAAGTGAGTTCACGTACAGGTCAAGATACCCTGTGAATTTTGCGTTTCTAGCTTTCTTAGTTCTCGAGATCTCGGAGTGTCAAATTGACTCCCCACCCGAGCGAAGGGTTTGTCTAACCGGACAATCGGTCGCGTGCTCACATAACAGGCGACGTACAGAAATAAAGTAAAAAGTACATGCTCTAATTTTCATATGAAGCACCTCACTGCCAATGGTAATACAGGCCTTAGTAAAACACGCATACAAACTGCACGGCAAGGGTCATCTGCGAGAAGCGTACGTCTGTTTCCAACCAATCATCACAAGCATAATGTTTTGCGTAATCATAGGGCAAAGTCCGCAGATATCAACGCATGCCCAACAAAAGACTTACCTTTATTGCACATGGCGATTCCGTAGTCCATGACAAAGCTGATTAACGCCATCAAGACCCCTAGCACAGTCAAGAACACCCAGTCTTCACCAATCCTCGCAAATGTCTTCTTTCACACAAACCCGAACACTTTGCCCACACGCCGTGTCCACTTTCCGCGATACCGGTTGCAACTCCTGGCCGTCGCAGTTTCTCGTCCAGCTTTCTCTTCTTGTCGATCTCTTTCAGACGCTTCGACTCTGTCTTGGCGAACTCCCCGAGATCCTTGGATAGCGACCATACATCTGAAAAACAGCACGCATTAAAGTTTGCACAAATGGTCATCGAAGACTGAGTTGCGTCGCGTTGCAGATACGCATGATAAAACTTCAGGTGGGACTGCATGATAAGATCCTAAAAATCATTACGCAAGTCAAAATGCTTCAGTCGTTGACAGCACGCACTGCCACCGCAGCCACGGTGTTTCGCGTTTACCATACGTCCACCTCGGGTCTCACGGCAACGATCAAAATCTGGTCATAGTGATCAGACCCACTGTACTTGTCGTCTTCTGCGCATGCGTTGGCAATTGTCTCGAGTGAACCATCGGCCCAACGGATTTCCGTCTATCAATTGTCAAGATGTCCAGGATATACGAAAAAGTGTACCAGCCTACTCCGCCGTACACTGTTCCGGTCTTAAAAATTCGTCACGTCGGAAAAAGAGAGCACGATTTTGCGAACGGGTCATGGGGATACGTCACGATACGAACGGGAATACGCCACGCTCGTCTATGCGTGTTCTCGTGGTGAGACTGCGTGACGTGGGCAGCCATTACCGATTGTCGGACCACGCAGTGGCCTTGATGTCCCCAGTGGGCCTCATGCCAACCCCAAACAACAACAAAATATGCAATTCCGTTGTTATTTGCACTGGAGTCCAGCCAAACCCGCCCTGGCTTCGGTGAGATGTCGACCGGGGGTGACACAGCGGCGTCGGCGGCGTCTCCGTTAGCCGTCTCACCCTTCTTTGTGGGGTTTCATGAAAAATAGCCGACACGGGTCACCCTGGCTGACCGACCAGCCGGGTGACGAGAAAACGGTTTGGGAAGCCTCGCAATTAAAGATGGAGAAGTAGACTCCCAGTTTACATCACAACACGTGTCAGCACAAACGTGTGCATCTGCCCTGATAATCTCAGTTAGTTGCAGTTTGTTGACACAAGTTCATTTTACCTCACGCATAACGCGAAATGAAGCATTTTTTGTCTTTTCCTATCCAACAAGCTGACAAACGTGACGAAAATCAGCCACAACACTTACATGATCTCAGTGCCAGATTCTCATTTTTATCGGGTCAAATTTATGTACACAGCTGAATTTGCTCGCGTTCGGGGGCGTGACCAGAATTTGCGACGGGAGAGGACACCATAATTTGTGACAAGAAAGGCTACCAAGCAGGCGAATAGACTTCAGACCACGCACACGCTAACAGGTTGTAGTGCCTGGCATGCCAATGAGGAAACCGATGTTGGTTTGCTGTGGTGCTTTAAACCTCTGTTTCAGCTGCGTACCGAACATGGTCGCTCGGCTACCCTCTAGTCGTGTTATTTGATGACGGACTGTCGGGTTCTTTACATCACTGTTCATGGTAGTGTCGCTGGGATTTAAAACCCAAATAGTTTTCGCGATCACCCGGTTCTGGAATTTAAAAAATAGCGTAGTAGAAAATTACGCCGGAACCTGACGCGTGGCGCCAAAGCACATGAGCCCCACCCCTTAGGCTGCGTCAATGTCCGCGCTGCCGGTGTAATGTGTTCATGGGGGCCGAAGTAACTGCGAACTCAGATATCCGGCAGAAAAATGAATCGGATCAATCGAAAGATCAAACGAAAACATTCTGTCCTCACCAGAACCGAATATAAGATACAGGGCAGATCAAGAAGATAACAATAATTAAAAAGGGTCAATATTATGCGTATCACTTAAGCACTAACTACGACAAAAAATCACAAGCCCTCCCAAAATGAAAGGTGCTTCAGTTAAATGTGCGTTCAGTTCCAAGATTGTCACGTATGAGCCTCGCAGTATGACTTCGATTCACTGATCGATATCACCGGTCCGTTGCAATTTTCCGCCACCAAAACACGAAACCATTCCACTGTGGCGTATGATAAATCGCGGCACATACCGATCAGTCATCAGGAACAAACAATGATTATACCTGAGCACTTTCGACGAATGCTCTGCGAAACCTGCCTTCTTACTTGTGTCAAATTGCACTTTAACGCCGATGTCAATGAGGAACACGAATGACAGACGTTGCGTGATAAATTATCGAACGCGAAGAACCCTAATGCTACTGACGTACTCAGCGCGTGTTTTCGCCGGGCACGTGCTATCAGTTCATCAGATCCGCACGCGCGTCCTGATACAGCATTGAGCATTCGCAATAAAGCAAACGTGGTGTGCTGCGTGAAGCACACAGCACATGAGGATGTTGAGAAACAGAGGGCGTGCCTCAACTGACTCCCGACGTAACACAGATTACAAAGACGTGATTGTTGATTTATCACGCTATCATCGTGGGAGCCAGCGCCTAATCAGACAAGGGCTGGATTGTCAGCGTCTGGTCATTCAGTCTGATTCACTAGTAAACTTTAGTGCTGCTGATACTCTCGTCTGATATGTTAAGGAGCTTGTCACGAGAGTCTCCAAAACCCAGACATCAGGCGTGCCTTGCAGAAGAAAAACAAATGTCAAGGTTCTCGCCTGGACAGTGGCGCAGTCGCGCAGACTGGTCCTTGCACATAGGTGACTTGGGAGTCCCATGGTGTTCGCAAAACGCTCCGGTGTCATAAGCCATGTGACAAGCGTTTATTGGTCCAGCCGGCGGACATCATCACTTCATGCTCGTTTCGAGGGCGCCGGGCCACGTCACACATTCATAACCACGCTTCCAGGCGCCCCGACTCTGTTTAATCGCAAACATTTCGGCCGGACCGCGCGTCCACCGAGCCGAACAGACCCTCAGCCTGTCCCCTAACACGTGGCGCCGTCACGAGCGAGGTCTGATCACCCATCTTCAGCGTCGGCTGCCTGATAGCCGGTGTCGGTTACGGTCCGGCCGAGGCGAAGGGACAGATCACGCGAACGGTCCGGCTGAAGCCAAGGGACAGATCACGCCGAATGGTCCGGCTGAAGCCAAGGGACAGATCACGCCGAATGGTCCGGCTGAAGCCCAAGGACAGATCACGCCGAATGGTCCGGCTGAAGCCAAGGGGACAGATCACGCGAAGGTCCGGCTGAAGCCAAGGGACAGATCACGCCGAATGGTCCGGCTGAAGCCAAGGGGCAGATCACGCCGAATGGTCCGGCTGAAGCGAAGGGATTGCCTGCGCCGCTGCCGACCACTGACCGACGCGGTGCCGAGAGTAAGCCCGCTTCGATAGTATCTGATGCCTTATCCACACGACACGGGTTACACAGGTCACGCAGATCACGCCGAGTGGTCCGGCTGAGGCGAAGGAGAGATCACGCTGAGTCGGCAGATCTTCCGCCGCACAACATCCATAGGACAGGCGACCCGTACTCGATTTCGGACTCGTTTAGAGTCACTTCGGCCGTATGGTTTGTTTCGAACGGGCGGTTGTGCTGCCGAATCACGGGCGGCGCCACAGATTTTGAGGAAGCGGCGACCTTTCCACGGCCTCCTCAAAGCGACCTCCTGGGGCAGTGTCGTGGGGGTATTGGCCATTGTATGAATGATTATCCATACGATAAATATATTCAATTAAAAAGTCCGAACACAAAATGTATGTAAGTAATCCCTACAGGGTATTCAAGACACAGAAAAGGCAGCTGTTTGTTCCATAAAGAGCCTCCTCAAGCATAGAGGCCTCTTAACCAAAAGCGGCTTGCTATCGTTTAAAAAAGGGCCTCCAAGTCCGATAAAAAGTCACATTTTTCCCAAACAATGCATCCTGACTAGGACCAGCGGCGTTATGACGCATGAGAAAGGCCCCGGGTTCAGAAAAGGGGCCTCCTGATATATAGCTAGTGCTTCCTAATGCAGAACAGTGAGCACCTGGTTCATAACGGGACTTTCCGAGCCAGCAAAGGGACCTCCCGAGCCCCGTTCTTGAACAAAGCTTCTGTTGACAAAGTAGTCAGTCTCCTAAACACACAACAGGGCCTTCTGAAATTAGAAAACGAGCTTTTTGATGCAGATAAGGGTATTTTGAGCCCATTGTAGTACCCTCTACCTCAGTTATAGAGGCCCCTTGATCTGAAATTCGGTAAGATTTAAAAGGCTGCCGACCGGCACAAGGGGGGGGGGGCAAACTGTCCCCCCATTGCTGCGTCGCCTCTGGCCTAAATCTGGTAAAATTTGCACCAGAAAAATAACGTGCATCTTGACTTTCCATGCCGAAGATACTTAATCATCAGCAAGTGCTGGATGATGTCATTTTCCTGAGTTTTCTTTGCTCTCGGACTCCCGGCCTCCTTCACGCCTCAGATATCGCCGTGAGTGGCCTTTATCTCGGAGGGTGGGATGGGGGTGAGGGGGCAGAGTCTGTGTTTCTCTACTCCTTCAAGCTTGACGTCTTACCACTTGAGGTGAGCTTCATATCTGCCTTCACGTGCTGGCTGGCGGGCAGGGAAGATACCGTGCTCGTCCTCCGCCCGGCCAGCTCGACTTCGGCTCTGGCCCAACGGACCGCTCAGCACAGCGACCAGAGCCAGAGCCGCCGG